TTTGGTGGAGTCATCCTATCAAAGCCATTTTTCTCTTTTAGAAATACTTTTAAGTTATACTACTATAGCATATCAAAACTCTTTAAAGTCATAATTTAAATAATAACCTTTACCCTAAATTTTAGTTTCCACTCTATTCTATATATATATATATATATATATATACATATATATATATATATATGCTAGATTATACATAAAATCTTACAGGACATACTTATAAAGACAGCTTAGAAATTGACCACACTCTGAAGTGCATATAGAAAGGGATTTTGAATGTTACACATTTTTGAAATGTGACACTTTATCCATTTTGTCATCATCATAATAATAATGCCTTAAAGTCCTTTCATGCCTGTACCACATTTTATTCTTTTATCAATCCTTGAGACAGATGGGGTAAATATTAATTTTCACATGAGGAAAATGAGGCAGAGAGTTATTTAGTTCCACTTCTGTGTGCTTTTCCTCTGACCCATACTTAACAGGATAACATTCTATTATTGTAAGTTCTGTCCAGTAATTTATCCTGGATTGTTGCTGTTGTGTGCCGTTGAATTGATTGTGACTCATAGCAATCCTATAAGACAGAGTAGAACTGCCCCACAGGGTTTCCTACGGTGTAATCTTTACAAGAGCAGTTCACCAGGTCTTTTTGCTGGGGAGCAGCTGGTTAGGTTCCAACTGCCAACCTTTTGTTTAGCAGCTGAGCACTTAATCATTGTGCCACCACGGCTCGTTTATGCTGAATTACACAGGTAAACAGATGTATGTAGCTGGACACTGCCCAAAACAACTGCACAAATGAAAATGTGTGTGTTTTAACATAACACTTTTTAAAGCAAAATGTGTGAACCTGCGAATATATTTCATGAGAGGCCTTGTCCTTTATTCTATGCAACTGCAAATCATTTTTGTTTCATCAGACTGTGAAGTGATTTTGAATACAAACTAATATTGTGTAAAAATTTGTGTTGAACTTTTGGTGCAAATTCAGAAAGCCAAGCTGTGATTTTGATATATTGTACCTTAATGATGTAAAATACTAGTTTCTTATGGAGTGCGGAACAAACTCTTATTTCCTCTGAAACTCTGATTATATATATACACACCTTTTAATTTTCATTTCACAAATAACTCTTGTTTGAAATTATGGATCATTTTTTCATAGATAGAAAGAAACTTGTACATTGTTATTGGAGTTTTAATCTGCTATAGTTTATCACTATATAGCGATATAATTTATTATTATATAATTAATTATGGGATTCCCTGGGTGGCATACATGATTAAGCACTATACTGCTAGCTGAAAAGATGGTGGTTCAAATCTACCCAGAGTAACCGCAGAAGACAGGCTTGGTGATCTTCTGAAAGGTTGCAGCCTTGAAGACCCTATGGAGCAGTTCTACTCTGCACACATGTAGTCTCAGTGAGTCAGAATCAACTCCACAGCAACTAACAACAACAATAATTAATTATAACATGATTTGTTTGTTATAATTTCATGCTTTAAGATCTCACACAAGATTTTTCTTAAGACTCCTTTATTCATCTTTAGAATTAATCAGCAGTGGTTTCAACTCTTTGGGAAATGGATAATTTCCAAATCACATCCATTTCTCTACTTAATTCCCTTCAGAGTAACTTTAGACAGTTGTCTGGCAGTTCCTATTCTTTAGGGAACACTGTTGAACTAAAAAAAACCTGACAGTGTAATTCTCAAATGAGTTTAAAAAATTATGGCTTAAATGAATCAATTCTAATTTACCTTGTATGTTGAAGTTGGCTACTGTTTTCTGTTAATATGTATTTTGTACATTAATTGCTTCCTTCAGTCTCTTACCAACTTTATAGTTGGTAAGCAATACCTTCTTCCCCAGCCTGCCCTATTATGCATTTTAAAAAAGATAAAACGTCAAACTGGACTTTCCTAAAACTACCATTCTAGGGTGTGTGTTTCTGAATTCCTTTATATTTGTATCACTAGATTATCTCTCACTTTTAGATTGTTACCAAAAATATAATGAATTCAAGGTAGTTATTATGCATTCTGCTTTGTCCTACAAGGTCACTATGAGTCAGAATTGACTGGACGGCAATGGGTTTGGGTTTTTTTTTTTTTTTTTTTTTAAATGTGTCTAGATTAGTTTCTCAGGTTATAAAGACTTCATGAATCTTCAATCTTATTATCAAATGTGCCAAAGTATTTCAGTAGGGATAATGAATAGTCTTTTCAACAAATGGTGTTGAAGTAACTGTTTATCCCTTTGGAAAAAAATGAAACTCCATCCTTACCACACGTCACACATAAAACTTTATTTGTAAGGCATCATAAAACCAGATACTGTTGAGTCTGTGCCGACTCGTGATGACCTATGTGTGTTAGAGTAGAACTGTGCTTCATAGGGTTTTCAATGGCTGATTTTTCAGAAGTAAATCACCAAGACTTTCTTCCAAGGTGCCTCTAAGTGGACTTGAACTTTCAAATTTTTGATTAGCAGCCAAGTGCATTAACCATTTGCATCATCCAGCAATCTTTAGGCAACCTAACATTTTTTAAGATAGAAAACAAAATATTTCTTTTTAAAAAGTGATAAATCGGACTTCCTTGAAAGACACAATTAAGGAAATGAAAAAGCAAGCCACAGACTAGGAGAAGATAATAAATTAAACTGTGTGTATATGTGTATTATATATAGATAAGGATATGTATCCATAATATATAAAGAAACCTTAAAACTCAATAATAAAGTCAGACAACCCAATTTTTTAAAATGTGCAAAAGATTCGAAAAGATGTTTCACAGAAAAAAATACGTGAATGGCCAATAGCATGTAAGATGATACTTAGCATAATTAATCATCAGTGCATTGCCAATTTAAACCATAATGAGATACTACTAGATACTCACCAGAATGGCTAAAATTTTAAAAAGCCAATAGTAAGAGTTGATGAGTATGTGGAACAACTGTAATGTTCATGCACTGCTAGTGAGAATATAAGATGACACAACTACTTTGAAAAATAACTGATAATTTCTTAAAAATTTAAACATACACTTACCATATGACTCATTAACGCCACTCTTAGTTATTTGTCTAAGAGAAATGAAAACTTAGTCTAAAGACACGTACAAGGTTATTTATAGTAGCTTTATTTATAATATCCAAAATCGAACCAAAATATCCATCCATAGAAGAATAGATAAACCTAATGTGATATATCCAATACAATGAAACACTGCTCAGTAATAAAAAGGAACAAATTACTGAGAGTTGCAACAACATGAATAAATCTAAGAAACATTATTATGAATGAAAGAAGCCAGACAGACACTCTGTGTTTCCATTTATATGATACTGTAGAAAAGACAAATCTAATATGTATTGACAGAAAGCATATTAGTGGTTTCCTGGGCCCCAAGGTGAGGATGATTTACTGGGAAAAGGAATAAGGGAATATTTTGGATTGATGGCAGTGTTCTATATCTTGATCAATATGGTGATTATACATTTGTCAAACTTATTGAGCTGTACATTTCAAATAGACATATTTTGTACATAAATGATACTTCAATAAAGATGAAAAATTGTAGCACTTATAAATTCGACTTTAATTCTCAAAGGTAAATAACGTAAATGATAAATAAACATCTATGCATAATTTCAAAGGTAAGTCCTGTTTGAAAGTATATAAAAATATTTCTAAAGTTTAAAATTCTTAAGCTTTTATACATTTCTATAGAGAATACTGGAGTATATAATTTAAAATTATACTTGTATGCAGCAGCATATTTTAATAAGAAGAAAACATCAAGTATAGAATTAGGTTAAACTCGCATTTAAAATGATGTGATATTCATAGGGCAACATTTGTAGTAACTGTTAAATGAGAAACTATTTTGTTCTGTAAGCCTTCATCTTAAGTGAGAATAACAGCACAGTTGGAAGAGCTTAGTCCATGTCACTGAACTGTGTATGTAGAAATTTTTGAAATGGTGTATCTTTGGCTATGTGTGTTTTCACCAAAAAAAAAAAGGTTAAGAAGTTAGAGGGTTAATTTGTTGTGGGGTTGTTAACCAATGTCATGAAACAACATGTGTACTACTGTTTCATGAGAAACTATTTGTTCTGTAAGCCTTCACCTGAAGTACAATAGAATATTTAAAAAAAAATAAAAAAAGATGTGATATTTAGAAACTATACTTAGACATATTTTCATTTTCAAAATAATAGAACCATATATTATTGTGAAAAGATGTTAAAAAGTGAATATTAATTTGCTGAACAAAACACATTTTGTTGATGAGATTATATCATGACTGTTGCTTGCCATCAGTAAACGTCTTCCCTGGTTTTTGTCTTTAGAATTGTTTCTTACAGGAATGAATATCAACAGATATTTTCCTTTTCTCTTTTAGTTCTAGAAGCCTCACCCTTCCCTCTTTCTCCAGAAGAAGATTTAATTTAATTTAGTACTTCTCATTATTTTAGTTTTCCATTTTAAAAGCAAAATTTAAAAAATGCTCTCTGCCCTTCATTTTCTCATTTATTTCCAAAGGTATAGTAACAACAAAAAATTCAGTGCCCCTCCATTTATTTACTCAGCTAAGTTATACTGCACTTTAAAATGTTTTTGAAGCAATTTTTCATTATAAAGACTACATTTTTAGTTTGCTTTCATTTGTAAGGTATCAGAAATGTGTAAAGTACTTTAGAATAGATTATGTCTGTTAGATCTTCTCACAGTGATAATTCTTAAGATGCTTTTATGGTTTTTACTTTTTCCCTTTTTCCTTTTGGACTGTGTTCTCAAAAATTACTTTAATTGCTCAGCTAACCTTTTCTTCTACCCAGGCATGTCATGTGAAGTATATAGGTGGTATTATTTTATTGAGGCTTGATGGACCCTGCTGAGATATTAAGCTGGGTTGCTTTTCTGAGCACTCGTTTTTTCTGGAGAGTCTAACTGTATTAGTTCTCTTTAACCTTTCTACAGATTTGTTATTGGGCGGGAAAAACCAGGACAAGTGAGTGAGGTTGCCCAATTGATAAGCCAGACCCTGGAACAAGAAAGGCGCCAAAGAGAGCTGCTTGAGCAGCACTATGCCCAGTATGATGCTGATGATGATGAGGTAAGTAGAACTTACATACGTTCTTTTTTGCTACATTCTTTCCATTATATTTCCTGGTTTATGAAACTCTCCATTGTATGAAAAGTGTGACAAGTGCTTTGTAGATTCTCTAGGAGGATGTGTCTGCATTCAGCGAAAATTTAATTCCACAGAAAAGAAATATTGTTTGTGTTTGATATTAACTTATGAATCAAATAATGGTATCCTGTTTACAATATGAAGACTTTGGAATCAAATAAGTCTTTTGTCACACTGATATAATGAAATTTAAGTGTTGGAATTAGGTGATTTTCTTCCCCTGCTTTGTATTTTTTCAAATTTTCTACAAAAAGCCTGTAATGCTTTTTTTCAAAACATCAGTAAACATCTTAAGTGAAAAAACATACATCCACACACACACATCCACAGAAAAGTACCAAAAATCGCTAAATGTTTCCAAGGATTTTTTCCCCCCCGGAAGAGACAGTTCTTTGGATCTGCTTACTGTGATTTGTGCTAACATAACGCAGAGCAAAGCTTTTCCACTAGCACATGTTCTGTTGAGTAGATACATATTGGAATAATTTTGTATCCTCCTCTCTGTAGAAGATCAAGTAAATGAATAGAAGCTAACCCCCAAGTGAAAACGGCTCTCTGGAACCCTTGTATGTTGTAATATAATACAGATGCTGGTTTATTTCTAATGTGAATGCCAAATATACATGGATATAATGGAACAGCATGTTTTATTATAAACATGTTTAAGCGTGCACATGTTTCATATTGGCATGTCAAAAGATCCGTCAACATTTTAGTTGTAGTTAGTTTTAGTATTTCATAGTTCATAAACATAATAAATATTGAAGTAAAACAAATACTCTTCTCTATACAAGCTTATATAAGCATAGTGCAACTTCATATGTTGAGCCTCTACTGATCTGAATATATTATTTTGTAGAACTTTTTTGGTTTATAGCTAGGGCGTAGTGGAGATTAATAAACAGACATTCAGACATTTTTCACATATTTTTAGCTTGAAATGTTTTAACCTAAATAATATTAAGTTTTCATGTTTGTGGTACAAGAATGCATTCTCCATTTTTTATAGTAGAAAATGAGAAATGGCACATTTATTTTTGATCCAGGAGTTTGAAAATCTCTACATGAATGAGTTAGTCTCAGAATTCTAACTACTCGATGTAATTTTTCACTTGAAAAATTCATTTAAATGGCAAGTATTTTCTCATTATACTGATATATATGAAAACATGTTGTCTTGAATTCTGAAACTATAAAGGAAGCTATTTTCTCAAATATTTGAGCTTACGTTGTTACCTAGTTTTCAGTTGTCTGCAGTATTATCTTGTATTTTATCAGAGACACTGAGTTGCTTTGGCTGCAAGCCCATTTTAATACCGTAGAATCAATCTGCGCAGATTTGTTTTTTAAAAGCCGCACATACCTTCTCACTATGCTAGAAAGATTTTGGATCTGATCTTAAGGGTGGTGGTGTGGTAACATCAAGGGGTGGAAAGTGAGGCGGCCAAGCTTTCTAATTTCTGTTCCTCAGTGTCGTTGGATGTAAAGTACAGGGGTGGGCCTGGCTCTCTGAATTCCTTCTAGTTCCTAACATTCCATGAGCCTGTAAGAAGACATCAAGTCTAGCCAGGACAGAGGGAAATTAAGATAGTCAGGTTGTTCAGGCTCCCCCAGTGAAATTTTTAGATGACACACACCATGTACTTCTTCCAGTTATTCTGAGGAATTGATTCCATTTATCTCTAAAAGTTTTCAACTCTAACAGCTAAAAGCTTTTTCTCCTTCGTGTAAGAATTTTTCTCTAATTTAAAAATTTGAGTAAATGGAAGCTGAATATTTGCCAGTCAGCATTTATACTTAGTAGCACATCATACGACAAATGGAAGATTGCCTATGGGCTTTTTTGTTTGTCTGCTTCTCTGAGGAAAGCAGAGTTGATTGTCACTTGAGCAGATATTTTCCAGGGGTGAGGTGAGTAAATAAATACTGAGTGCCGGGCACTTTGTAAGGTGCCTTTCCTACATAATCTTGGTTCATCTGTATGGCTACTAGAAGAGATTTTTTTTTTTCCTAGCAATGGAGAAACTGGGGCTTTCCCTATTGGTAGCTAGTGTTGGCAAAGTTAGGATTGGAATAATAGGGTCTCCAAAGAGCCTGGACTCTTTATAACATACTGTGCTATTTTTGAATGGAGTGGACATACTCTCCTGATGGGTCTGGCTCTGTTCAGGCACACACTGACTAACTGGGTAAAAAGAAATGTTGGAAGGAGACTTCCTGTTCTGAGTGATGGAATTTCTCATAATACTTAGTTTCTGTGATTCTTTGTTCTATATTTCTAATAATAGGGGAATCAGAATATTTGGTGAATTATTTTTTTCTAGGTAACAGTCCATAATATCGTCTTTATAGTGCTTAATGGGAAAAATAATTCAGTAATCAAATATTTTACCAAAAAAAATTAGAGTTTAGCTTTAAGTTAAATGGTTTCTTTTTGCTGCATGCTGTAGAAATGGGGTGCTTGCCAGTATGTTACTCCAAGTAACCCTCACTTTCTTGAAAAGGTCAAGGAAACTTTTCCTTTGTATCTATCTTTCATCCTCCTCTCTGACTTGTGTTTTCTCCCTTTCTTGCCTCACCAAAACGTTCCAACTAAAATGTGCCCAAGTAAAATCAACCATTATTTTTCTACATGTAGGAGAAATGAAAGCTGTACAGATAATGAAAATTCACTCCAGTGTAAAGACTTTAATGTATCTACTTGATTCAAATTCATTTTTCTTTACTAACGCTACCAAAATATTATTAAATTGTTGATTCAAATGTTACATTCCTTTTCTCTATTTACTTTCTCTCTGTTAATGAAAAATAAAATGTCCAAGAGGCTAAAGGAAATGAGAAGAACCAACATTGGATATCCAATGGATAAATGGTCCTTGAATAATTGAGTTAATTTCATGTGTAATTGAACAATTAATTGATTTACATATCTTTTTTTGAACAAGTTTTAGACATATGTAATCAATCACTTGGTTTCTCCCTTTTCTTATAATTTATGGAAGCAGCTTGTGATTTGAAAATTAGAATCATTTTTATTTGACAGAATCTCCTGTGACATTCCCTGGACCAGCCAGAAACACTTTTAATTAGATGCAGAGCAACCAAGTTTATCCAACTAATTTCTAGAGCCAGCATTTAGATCCACATTGAACATATCATCCAAGGTTGATTCTAACTTGGAACTTGTCACATCCACCGAGTGGACTTGCTTTCTTGAATTGGCTAGGGAAAACATTTCAAATGTGAGAAATATATCCCCAAGTTATAGAAGTACAGTGGTCGTCTGTTAGAACCATATTTAGGAATAAGAGCATCTATCATATACTGTATAGGTATATGAGTGTTTATATATATATAATCTGTTTTAATGCTTTAGGAAATAATTATAAGTCATACTCCAATAAAATTTAAGTCTATAGATAATCTATCAACTCTATTTAAATTTCTGCTTTTTCTCTTTTTCTTCATCCAAATATTTAAACTGAAAGAGTTTAATATAAGCAAAAAGCCAATTCAGTTTTAATTTACCTTCATCTTCCTGTTCCCCTCTGTTAAACATTCTCATTTTAAAAAAAAGTTGAAGTGGCTTTGCCTAAATTCTGGAGAATAAGAGGTGGGGTCCTATAAGAAAAGAAAGAGGTGTAAATTTGAAGAATTAAAAAATTTAAATATAGATCTGAATATATCTGTGATTAGTGGTGTCATTTCTGGATTTAAAAGAATTATTGTTTCTCTCTCTCTTTCTTTGTTTCCTTCTTTCTCCCTAAACAATCTGAAAGGTAACCATGGAGGATTTGAATAGCCCCCTCAGACAGTCACCACTATCTCACGAAATTCTGGGGGTATGGTAAATTTTTCCACGAGATTTTAATTTTCAATAACAAATTTAATATTCCATCCTACCTCACAGCTATCAATGTTTAGCCTTGTAGTGTTGTGATGAGGTAATTGTGGTATGTATTTTGTGGAGTATGGGACATGTTCGTGTAGTTTGAGTATCTGTTTCTATCAAAGAACATTATGCAATTTGAAATACTGTGGGCTCAGACTGGAAATGAAGTATGAACTGGTGCAGGACCAATTTTTAAAGTTAGAAACTAGATATGGTCATTCTAATTCAAATGAGCTGTTTTACATGGACTTTAAAAATTATATGATTACTTTGCTTCTTTAAATATTCTTTTGAAACATAAAGCTTATTACATTTTAAAGTCTTAGCCTACAGATGGTATTTTAAAGCCTCTTTAGGCAGTAGTTCATAACAACGTTAATCATTACTCCAGAAACTGAAGCCCCTCTCTGTAAAATATAATTTAATCTGTCTTTCATAATTTGTTTTCATTACTGAAAATTAATACATAATATATTATGACAACATTAGCTTATTTTTTAGAATTTTTGAACTATTGTATACAGTTTAGAGCAGCTTCCTATGTGGATATACATTTTTGTTGCTTGTGTTAATGTGTGGTAATTAGAGGCAGAAATATGAAAGCTATGGTTTATACAAGTATTTAAAATTTATAAGAATATGATTTTCATGTGAAAAGCATTAAAGCGATAACATTAAATTTGACTCATGCTGTTTCCTGTTCCTGGTTGGAAACAGTTTGTGCTACATGAACAAGATATTGCAATTATGATGGATGTCCTTTTAATAAGGTGAATTTAATAATATGAATTGACTTTATACTATGTCTGTAATATTGAGAAACTTAGAGTAGAGGCATTTTTACCTAGCTACAGCAATATTCTCTTGGTACTCAACGCTGTGTATTATAGCAGGCAGTGGGTTATCATTGTTTTTTCTATCCTTAATTGTTAGCCTGCTCTCTGTAGGTAGGGGAAAGCCTTCTTTAATTTTTGTTGTCAACCATTTTAGAACACTGTGACTGAATTGCAAGGAGTCTCTGGCAACTGCAATAACAATAACAACTATTTCCTTAAGGTTTGTTTTTTGGAAGAAAATAATGCTTATTGTACCTTCCTGCTTTGTGTGCGAAATTAAATATTCTATTTGTCTTATTAACTAGCTCTGTGCTCTGAAGAGCTTCTCTAGAATTGTGTGTGTTTCATTTGCTGAATGTTAGTTTGAAAATAATCATTCAAAAAATATTATTTAATTGTGAAACATAGCACTTATTTTAGGCACTGGTTCTGCAGTTTGATTCACTTTCTAATGTTTAACCATGTATGTTTTTAACCCCTAACACTTAAAACTTTTTGTGTTTCAAATTAAAGAGAGAGAGAAAAAAAAAAAAAAAAACCCACACCAGGGCAATATGATGTTTATGTAATACAGTGTACTCAGTAATTGATAGTGTCTTTTAAATATGGTAGAATCTTTTGATACAAAGTTCTTAATTTTTCAAAATAAAAAGTTAAATGTTAAAAGCCTAAATGCATGTATTTAGTATTCATTCATATGACTTATATGGTAGACATACAAAAATGTCTAAATAGATTCTATACTTTAAAAAATAAAATCCTTTTTATTTGCCAGCCACAGAGATGGGAGAGCCTAAAAATGGGGATCAGGTATGTTTGAAAGGGAGATTGGCTTATGGTAGTTAGATAATCCTGAAGAATAAAAGAAATAAAAAACTTTTTTAAATGGCTGATTTTAAAGATCAGGTCAAGCTGGAGTCCGTGAACACACAAACTCCATTCTGACCTGATCTTTAAAATTATTAAATTTAATTACATTCTTTGGTTTGTGAAACCAAGAATTATAAGGTGCTTGGAAAGCATTCAACTGAAGACCTTATCGATGGCCCAATTAGCCTAAGTAATGTAATGTATGTGTACATGGGCACACACAGGCACACACACACACACACACACACACATTCATCCCCAGGAAGTGGTCGTTTTCCTCTACTTGGAAGGTCCTCTCTAGGAATAGTCTTTGTGTATAGAGACATTATTATATATAACACTGAGCACAGACAAGGAGATGTGTAGCATCAAGGGGAGATAGGTTAGGATAGGAATCTGCCTAAATGATACCATTTTTGTAGCTCCTTTTCTTTGTTTTGCTTTTTTTTATCATAATACAAGTGATTTGATTATGTTTTCTTGTTACTTTCTTTCCAGCTACAACACTCTTGTAATATTTACTCATGAGCCAGATACTAGATACGAAACCAACTTTATCAAATTCTTCTATGCTCTTAAATTCCACTGAGAGTGTGCTGTATATTTCCTAGAAACCACACTAGAAAAATTCTATGTTATAATGATGAACTACTACAGAGGCTGCAGTGTTAAAGATACAATACAATACAAAGACAGTATTTTTCCAACTTTAGAAACATTTACATTTTATAAGTTAAATATAACTATTTACCAAAAAGTTCTAAAGTGCTAAAAGACACAATAAGAAATGGATCTTTCTAGCGTTGGAACCACAGACTTAATTTTTATGGGTAATGGGGCTCCCGCAGTTTCTGCACATCTTTGCTCTTCGTGTTTTCTCTACCTTGAATACCTTCCCTGCACTGGCCCTTGTGTGCTCACTCAACTTGTTCAACTTTCAGGGCTCTCTTTAGGCTTCATCTCCTCCACAGAACTTCCTTGGACCCTCAGCTAGGCTAGGGACCTCTTTTTTATGTTTCATTAGCAACAGGTATATCTCTTTCTATCATTGTTTACCCATAACTTTCCCCCACTAGCATGTAATATCTTCAGTGGCAGGTTTCAATAGCTTGTTGATTTTTAAAATATCAAGGGATGAGCACAGAACTGGGCCAATTAGAGGAGGCCAACAAATTGAACTGAACTGAATCACACAGAAGAGATTAAGATGAAAATGGGAGAGTAGAGTTAAATTAGGGAATGAAATTTAGTCAGGAGCATAATCTGAGAAAGTAAGGGAAGAATGGTATAGAATGTTGTTGTTGTTAGGTGCTGTCGAGTCAATTCCGACTCATAGTGACCCTATGTACAACAGAATGAAACACTGTCCAGTCCTGTACCATCCTCACAATCGTTGCTGTGCTTGAGCCCATTGTTGCAGTCACTATGTTAATCCATCTCGTTGAGGATTTTCCTCTCTTTCACTGACCCTCTACTTTATCAAGCTTGGTGTCCTTCTCCAGGGACTGGTCCCTCCTGATAACGTGTCCAAAGTAGGTGAGATGAAGTCTCAACCATCCTCACTTCTAAGGAACATTGTAGCTGTACTTCTTCCAAGACTGATTTGTTTTTTCTTTTGTCAGTCCATAAGTTCTTCGCCAACACCGTGATTCTTCTTCAGTCTTTCTTATTCATTGTCTGGCTTTCACACGCATGTGAGGCATGGTATAGAATACAGAGATAAAAAAAATGCCAAACCTAGTAAGTAAACTAGAGATTGGAAATAGAGACAGAACTGAAGAAATAGTCTATTTTTGCCCTTTGGTGCTTTGGGATCTAGCACTTGTCTTTGGTCTTTGCTGCCACATTTTAATTGTCTTGGGAGACCATGGAATTTGTAAGAGGACCCTATCTATATTACACTGCACGAAAGTCCTCTGAATGTAAAACCAGAAAAAATGAATATGCATACTTCATTCCTTTAAAACATTTGGGACTTTGTAAATAGCAACTGGTGACTCACATTGACATGACTTCTTTTTAGTCATAACTGAATAAACCTACCATAGAAACAGAAAATTGAAAATGGCCTAAATGAATTCATGGTTAATCCTGCATAAATAACCATCTTCTCCTTCCCAGTACAGTAACTTAGAAATACTCTTCAATCATGGAAATACATTTTCAATCTTAGAAAGTTTCATCATAGTTTTAATGAGAAGTAATAACTAAATGGTGACCTGACCAAGGACTGATGTGTTAAAGCTATTTTACAGGGAGTTTTCCAGTCCTCCTAAAGACTCTATTCATTTTAAACTGATATTGATGTGGGATAAGGTGGTAAAAACTAATTGATTTCTGGAATTTCAGTTCCTGAAGGGATTTTAAAAAAAAATATTGTTTTTTTGGTAAGAGTATACATAGCAAAACAGGTTTCCATTCAACAAGTTCTACACATAATGCTACATTGGTTACATTCTTCACTTTGTGTCAGCATTCTCATTATTTTCGTTCTAGTTGTTCCACTCCCATTAATTTAGTCTCACTGCCCCCAAACTTCTCTATGTTATAGAGTAGCTGTTGTCCATTTAGTCTCATATGGATAACTTTTAAAAGAGTACAGTTCTCAATGGTAAAATTCTTTACTTTTTGAGCTAACCTGCTATTTAGCTTAAAGATGATTTCAGGAGATAGTTTCTGTTCAAGATTTAATGAGTTTCTTAGGGTAACAGTCTTGGGAATTCCTCCAGTCTCAATGTGTCTGTTGAGAATTCTTTGAGAATTTGAAATTCTGATAGCTGGTCACCATCTAGTTGTTCTGTTCTCAAGATAGAAGAGGCTGTGGTTCATGGAGACAGTCCTGTGTTCTGGTTCCTACTCTGATTCTTGGATTTTCTTTATTCTCTTTTGCTCTAGATGAATAGAGACCAGTAGATGTATCTTAGATGGCCACTCACAAGCTCATAAGACCTCAGACACTCACCAAACTAGGATGTAGAATATGAACTTCATGAACTATGTTATACTAGTTGACTGAATTGACCCAGGAGACTGTGACCCTAAGTTTTCCTGAAGGGATTTTTTAAAATTATTTTATTGAGGTAAAATTTACGTAGTCTGTACAGAGTTTTAGAGCAGTCCACAAGACTACCCTCAGACATCAACTGCAGAATTTGGGAGTTGCTAAGATCACCCTCACTTCTGACACCAATTACAAGTTCAGACAGAATTGCATGTTTTTATACCCTCAGGTTCACTGAAAGGGCTCACTGAAAGCTGTTATGGTTATAGTTTATTACAGTGAGAAAATATAGATTAAAATCAGCCAAGGGAAGACATGCATGGGGCAAAGTGCAGGAAAGTTTCAAACATGGAGCTTCCTGTTGTCCTCTCTTAGTGGAGTCATGGACAGCATTAACTCTCCCAGAACAGTGTGTGACAATATGGTTGGAGTATTGCCAACCAGCAAAGCTTACCTGAGCCTTGGTGTCCAGGCGTTTTCTTGTGACTCTGTCATGTAGACATGGTTGACTACCAGCCAGACTAACCTTAATCTCTAGCCCCTTTGGAAGTTAAGCAGATACTGCATGATGCAAAGGCCCCAACATAAATCACACTGTTAAAGTCTCTGGTGTGGCCCAAGGCCCCCAGGTAAAGAGAGACAGTTTTATCAGGCAGGATATTCCAAAGACTGAGGAAGTACCTCCCGGGAGCCAAGCGCAAAGGCCAGATCTCTCTTTGAACAGATTAAATTCTTTACTACACAGTGTGAAATGCACGCATTTTAGGTGTATAATTTGGTAATATTTTTATCATTATATATTTGTATTTCAGATTTTAAAATCAACTTTAATAAGGACTAAATTACATACCATAATACATATCTATTTTAAGAGTCTTTAGGTTAACAGTTTGATGAGTAACTACCACCACAATCAAGATATAGAACATATCTGTCACCCCAGAAAGTTACCTCATGGAACTTTGCAGTCATTTGATCTAGTTTCTGACAGCATAGATTAAATTTGCCAGTTCTAGAATATCATGTGACTGGAATCATCAAGCGTATCCTTGTTTGTGTCTGCCTTTTTTCATTCATCATAATGTTTTTGAGATACAGCCATGTAGAGTAGTGTATTCTTTTTTATTCTCAAGTAATATTCCATTGTTGCCCACCACGATGTGTTTATCCATTCACCAGTTAATGGAAATTTGAATTATTTCCAGTTTTGGACAATTATTAATAAAGCTGCTGAGAGGTATTCCGTTGTAAGGATATATCACATTTTGTTTATCACTACTGCTGGACTCTTGAATTATTTCCATTTTTTCCTTGTTAAGAACATTCAAGTACATGTCTTTAGGTTGGAA